AACTTGGAATATTTATGAAAGGTTCTCTGGATTCTCTACACAAGAAGTTTGGGTATTCTCCGTGTTTAGAGACATTTAGATGCATAATTAAAGGTTAGATTACCATTAGCGAAATTTTCTAAAGCTTTAACTGGGTCAGCTTTGCTAACTGAATAGACATAAATTTAACAGGGTGTCAAATCGAATTGTTTAGCATGGATCTTCCATTTGACGGATTATATCGTTTCAAACAGATAGGAAGGATGTTATTACCTACCAAGGACGCAAACTTTTTAAATTTAGTTTCTGCCATTTCATACTTTTATAGTTTGTTGGTAAGAGTCTGTTGTCATATTCTTAAACAAGTTGCATCTTATAATTTTAATTATTTCTTTAAGAGTTGATCGTTCTATTGAGGAATTGAATAAACCATCTACACCTACTGGCTTGTCGTACCATAAAGAATCGTATTCATCACCTTACAAAGTTCATATACCAATCTTAAATATTCCGCCTCCTGCGATCGATTGATCAATTTTTATTAAATTTTAAGAATGATTGTGTATTGCACTATACGTTTTCTCGAAGTGGGGAATTTGATTTTTAACATTGTAATGGAAATGTAATGTGTAGTAAGCGTATTGAAAAAAATAAAAAATACAAGATTACTCTGCATTACCCGTAAAAAAAAGATCGATATTACACCTTATGTGATTGTTTTATTACTGTATGTAAAATGCAATATAATTAGTATAAATATACAAAGGTGAGATCGAGCCCTAATCCAACTTTAAGGGTGTATCCCAACCAAGCCGTACGCTTAAAGGATCGTCTACTGGTTTAGTAAAATCGAAAACCACAAATTCTCGATCCCGCAAATGCTTATCAATAATCTTAGATGCTTTTTTCGGATTATCCGTATATTGTTGCACGATTCTATGAATGTCATCTCGGCTACCGGCTCCTCGAAATAGTGCAAGATGGCTCAGATTTTCGCGGATGGTTTTAGGTGTTTGTGTATATTCTGTGACACATATTGGCGAGATATTTTGGTGCCGGCCACTAATGAAGTAAGGAATAATTCGTTCTTGCACTTTCTTTGATTCGGCACATAGATCCTCGAATACAACAACTGTACTTCGATCTGGTGAGAATTTGGTTATATCTGGAATTTTATCTGGAGATACCCTTTTAAATGTGACATCTTCTCGATACGGTTTGGGGGCATTCGCGAAGATCTGAAAGCTACAGTATTTTGTACAAGTTGCCATTTAGGCTCAAAATGCTTGCCTATTAATACGAGGTCATCATTTTTGATATAACGATTTCCTTTCTTATTTTTAAACATTCGTTGTAATTTGTTACCTAGCATAAGATTAATAACCATATTTGTTTTCCCACTATTAGAGCCACCTGTCACGAGGAGTCTAAAAGGCCAGTCGGGGGCATATTTGTTAGATTCCATTCGTTCTGGGATTTATTAGATGTCTCATCGATATTGTATACAAATATGGGCATACCTTTATCTTTCATTTTAACCAAGATAATCAATATTTATTCTTTATACTATAAATAACCTCTCTCTTGTAATTTGCTTTTTATATAGGGAAATAAATCACAATCGAACGGGATACAAATAAGATCTATACCTTGTCTTCTGCATAACTATTGAATGCATCTGATCTAAAAATTTCTAGAAGATTGCTTAAAGTTGATAGATAGTAGAATAAATAAAACAATATTGTGAAAGAAATTTTTATATCTCCCGCTTTTTTCAATCATGGCTTTTTTGTGTATCTAGGTCGACCTTGCTATTGGGGTGGAAGTATTTTGGAACAACATGAAAATGTTGGATGCCCTGGAATTCGAATGCTAACTTTAGCTCTCGTTATACCCTCTAATTGCATCCCATCTAAGAACTTAGCCCTGCATGGTGGTACCCTCTAATTGCATCCCATCTAAGAACTTAGCCCTGCATGGTGGAAATTTCTTACCTAACAGATCTTCAAAAATATATCTTACATTTCTCTCAGTGGTATGATGGCATAAGGGGCACCATTCAAATTTCATAGCTATTAGTGGATATGGATTTATTTGATCAGTTTTACCAAGACATTTTCCGTCACACTTCTTTGCATATTCTTCAGCCTTGGCCATTTTATTATAATACGAACGAAATTAACAGATCTGAAACAAGTATTTTCTTCCAATATACTCTGGGATGGATACCGAAGCACATCAATATTCACATATAAGAGTTCCTCTTTCACAAATCCCCGCTTTGGTGTAAACTCATCACCTTCTAAGTAATATAAAATAGGCTCATTCTTCGTTACAACAATTTTTCGAATCTTATGAATACTTGGACTGAATGTGGGATCTGTCGCACATTTTTGATTTTCCATACCACCCTCCCATTCGGTGTTAGCAAGTAAATATCAAACAGTGTCGCCCTTATTTAACTTTATTTCATTATTTCCGACTAATCACTTATATTTTGTGGATGGCCTAGATTCAACTCTTTCTAATCTGATTGCTATTGCTGGAGCTAAACCCCATTTTGATGAACCTGGAGCTTGAATAAGACGTGTTGGATAATTATTTAGATAATCGATAACTTCTGACAAATATTTAATCTATTCTCTTATTAATTTAAGGTTTGAAGTTATACTTTAGACAGCATATTGACTTTACAAAGGGTGATTACAAGTATCAGAACGATTGAATAATGATTAATTCATTAATGATTTTTTATATATAAAAAAAAATTTTTTTTTAAAAAACTTTTTTCTCCTCTATTTATTTATTTATTTAAAATATCAATACTTTGTTGCACCACCTTGGGCCTCGATACATGCTTGAATTTGATGGGGCATACTTTCAATTAATTTATGGATATAATCAAATGAAATTGAATGTCACATGGTTTTTACTTTACACTTTAAATCATCAATATTTTTTGGCTGGTTACGTAAGTTACATACCTTCTTAGCAACTTTGTTCCAGAGGTTTTCGATCAGGTTAAGATTAGGGCTTTGTGCAGGCCAGAGTAGTACAGAAATACCTGCCAACTTATGAAAATCAGTGGCAATCTTTGTATGATGGGGAGGGGCATTGTCCTCTTGAAGAATCCCCTACAAGCAACCAACCTATGCAATAAAGGAATAGTATGCTTCTGCAATATTTTAGAATACACTTTTCCTGTTATAGATTCATAAATCAGAACGAGTGCCCTAGCCCACTCCACGAAAAGCACCTTCAGAACATTCGGGTAGGACTGTACCTCACCGTAGCACTCAGACAAGAAGTATCAAATTCTTCCTCTGGTGTTCGCCACACATGAAAGCTGTGACCTTGCAAAAACTGACTGAATGTGGACTTATCAGACTACATGATTTTTCACCACTTTGCAATTGACCAGTTTCGTCACTCCAGTATCTAAGCTAACCATTTTTCTTGATTTTTTTCTGAGATTAGTAATTTGGTGTGGGCAATACAAGAGTGCAAACCAATTTTTTTGAGAGTACGTCAAATTGTAACTGCTGATATGTTGGTTTTTTTTTTTTTATTCCATAGGTTCTTGATTTCGTGGACGAAGAGGTGATGATGCTTGGTACTGTCAGTGACAAGTTTTTAGCATGATTTGCGTATGAAAGTTAAATATTGGTTCCAGGCCACTATGTTTTTGTGGTGTTGTGGATCCTGTTTCTTTATATCATTTTATAACAATAAATGCAGTGGTCTTGTCACATTGGACACTTTCGGTGATTTTTTTATACGAATTACCACATAAGTATCCATAAAGGATCACCCCACATTGATCAGTGGTTAATTCTTTATTTTTTTCAGCCATCATTTTAATAAATAAATCATGTGTTGATAACATAACTGCTTATAAATACAATATAATATTTCCACTAGAGTTTTATTAAATCATTTCACAATCACCATGCCACGATGACTGTATGTAATAATGACTCGTATTGTTACATTATGCTCTTGCATCGACAAACTTACCAATTTTTTAAACTCTGACCTGCCATTACATTGTAATAAATCAGGCCAGGTAAGAGGAATATTCGAGTTGTCATAAATTTTCTTAAATGCCTTGGCTACCTCTGAACTATTTTTAAAGTTAGAAGTATAGAATATTTGTACCTACTAGCGACATCTACGACATTGAGAACCCATTTAAATATTTTTTTATGTACTTTGTCATTAGTAAGACGTAAAAGATCACACTGGTGCATACAGTTCGGACGTGAAATTTTACCATAACTAACTCTTGCAATATCTTTTAGCGGTGGGGTGTATTTTTGCCATTCATTCTGGTTATGTAACCATTCATGAACTTTTTTATATGGAAAATTATATCCTTTATCTACAAAGTAACATTGTTAACACAATTAAAAATTATTTAATATAGTTTGTGAAACAACTTCCCGGATTTAACTTACTTCTTATAAAGTTACAATCTACAATATCAGATAATAATATAATTAAATCTTATATCATACGATTTTACAAGTTAAATGGTAATAATATCCCGGATTTAACTAACTTCCTGTAAGAATTGATGAATATAATCTTATGAAAGAAATAGTAAAAACATTCCGGGCTTATTATCTACAATAACAAAGAATGGAAATAAATTATGAAGAATAAATACCATTAAATTTTATTTCATATCCTTGATCCAACTCACCCCCATAAAATAATGCTACTAGATTTCATTTCACAAAATACATTAAAAAAATGACAAAAATATCCTGAATTTAACATACAATCTACAATAATATAGAATAAAAGTACAATTGCAGTATATCTCATTCCGTGTTATTTTACGAAATAAATAATGAAATGTCCTGTATTTAATTTACTTCCTATAAAAATTGACGATTAATACAATTAAAAATCATAAGACTGTATATTTACGAAACGAATAAAGTTGTTCTAGATTAAACTTATTATCTGTAATAGCAATAAACAATAATAAAGCTATTTTATATACTGTAATTCTGCCAAACAAACAACGAAAATATCCTGACGTAAACTCGCCATCATGATAGCAAATAACAAAGTTGCTAGTAAATTTGATCTAATATAATTTTATGAAATAAACAATAAAATATTCTGGATTTAACTTACAAACTACAATAACATAGAGTAAAAATATATGCCTCATTTCATATAACTTGGCGAAACAACAAAAATACTCGGGCTTCAACTTACAATAGACAATAGAAAAGAATAAAAAACCATTAATACTATATGATTTTATAAAAACAGATATTCAGAACATCCTGAATTCATCTTACAATCTATAATAACAAAAAATATAATTCGGTGATTCTTATTTTAGATTATTTTTCGAAACGAATAACGAAAATATTCTGATTTAACTCCAACTGTAAATAGAAAAGAGTAAATATTGTAAGTTAATATTTTTTTACTGATTGCATAAAGTATGGATCTAACAAACGTAATTATTTAAACATGGCAAGAATGTATTAATCATTTTAATAATAATA